GTAGAAGCATCTCAGTGCTGGTAGGGGTCTCCACATGGCTCCTCCAGTTCCCAGGGCACAGGGTCTATCAGTGTAGTGCCATGTGTCCTGTCATGGAAGCATCTGTAAGGGAGTGGGTCTTGTCAGTAGAGAGTCTCCAAGGGAGTAAGCGGAGAGAGACAGTGTCCCCCGCCTCCAAGGAGGAAATACAGGAGTTCCCAGAATCCTCAGGAGAAGGCCCTGCCCACACAGAGGCCTCATTGACCCGATTGACAGACTAGACTCCACCCCTTCACTCTTAATCCTCTCAAGTCCCAACTGACACCAGATTATGTAACTAGCACATAATTTGGATTTTTGTAACTTTCTCATGCTGTAACTTATCAAAACCACCGAACCTAACGCTCTGCTGTAAAGTCAATTCTGCTATAAAGACACCTGGCGACCCTACAGGACCAGGTAGAACTGCCCCCTTTTGGGTTTTCTGTAATCTTGGTGGGAGCAGAAAGCTTCACCTTTCTCCCTCAGTGCGACTGGTGAGTTCGAACTGCTCACCTTGCAGTTACCAATGTGTAACCTGCAACGCCACCAGAGCTCCACACGTTACCTTGCAGCTTCCCCTAAGAAACAGTGAATAAAACCCAATAGGACCAGGAAGAGACTGTGGCATCCCAAAAAATCCTCTGTTTACATGGGTTTGCCCTAGTAGGACCTGGGCGTTTCCTATCTGTAAGACTATAGCCAGGCATCAGGCTTTTATGTAGCACTGGATTGTCAGTTGGTGCCTTTCACAGTGTAGCGTCCATTCTACAACAGCAATAATAACAACAACAATAAAGTTTATGTGTGCCTTGGGGGTCTTTATTTGACCTGGCCGACACCCTACCATGTACGAGGGAGTACCCCCAAAAAATGGATTCTGCCCCCACAAAGCTATGTATTTAAATTTTTTACAAAACAACCTTAACACTTTCAAAGTATTCTCCATCACGCTTAATACATTTGTCAAATCTGTGATTCTATCCTTGGAAACATTTTCAGGCTCATCTGTTTGGATGGCTGACAGCACCTCCTCCGTTTTTTTTGTTTTTTCCCGTTGCCAAATCACTGTCCTTTAATGTCCCCCCATTCGCAGAAACAAAAAGAATTCGCTAGGAGCAAGGTCAGGTGAGTCAGGTGCCTGGAGCAAGAGAGGCATGCTGTCCTTAGCCAGAACTGGTGCACTGAGATGGCTGCGTGAGCAGGTGCATTGCTGTGGTGGCAATGCCTGTCTGCTGCAAGTCTGGCCTTTTTTGGTCGCACATTGTTACGCAATCTTTTCCGAACCTCCAAATAGAAGGCTTGGTTGGCAGTCTGACCTGGTGGAATGGACTCCACACGCACTACAAGTCGACATTTTCATCCGTTCAGGCAGTTGACGGACATCCAGAACCAGGTTTTTGACATTTTACCTTTTTTGAAATGAGAAAAGCACTCCTACACTGTTGTTTTTCCCACAGCACTGTCCTTGGAAGCTGTGTTCAACATCACAACTGTTTCTGCGGCATTTTTCCCAAGCAGGAAATAAAATTTCACAGCCGCACACTGTTCTCTTGAATCAGCCATCACAAAAAATGAGATTCTAGCAGAACTGCTTTCACACAAAAATTCAGTGTGACCAGAGAGAACCTTCCCAGGTGATGCCACTGGGTGGAAAAGGAGCACTTCGAACGCTCTGCTCCACCCAGCACAATCCCAATTTTGGGTGGTACCACCTCCTATTTCTTACAGAAAAAGTATATTAACGCTATATTCAGTTCCCAAATGTTAGGCGTCTACAAGCTTGCTTTACTTGACTTCAAGTAATCATCCAAAGTGTTTGGTGTGTTCCACAGACATAAAAGTATTTCTGTAATTTAATTTAATGCAGCAACATCACCGTACATATGATCGTGAAGTCTGGTTTAAAACTGGTCTTTGGATGCAGCGGCTCAGGCTTCGAGGAAAGCCTTGCTGGGACAGCTAGAAAGGTGGACGTAGCAGGGGAAGCTGTGGAGGCAAGGGGCTCTGAGAAACTTCGCTTATAAATGGTTTTATTTCATGTTTTTGATTCAAGAGTAGGTGGGCCCTTCCAAACGTTTTGAAATGCACATGGGAACTATTTGCAATATTCATCTTTCTGGGCCACGGTCTCCCAGGAACAGTAATATTACATTCATGGGGACCGTGGAATATAAAGTCTTGTTCATGTGACTGTAAGCTGGGTGGATGAATTCCCTTCCCCTGTGTTTAAATATTAGCTCTGTGACTTCAGAGGTTTGTAATTTGGGACAGGTGTAGTCATTCTTCCTAGGAATCAACTCGCTCATCTGTCAAATAAGCATCCTGAGAGAACCTTGCTCGGGGCCTTCCGTGAGAAATGAGGTAATATAGACAAAGGCATAAGACCGCACCTGGCCCTGTCGCCTCAGCATCACAGAGCTCCTCCTCAGGGGTCATATTTGGACGTACACGTTGGCATCTACCTTAGCTAACATTTACATGCGGTTGTGTATATTGACACGCTAATCTGAAGTCTGGCTACCCTGATAGCTCGCTCACGTTTGATATCTGTATGTCTTCCAGATACTCCCAGCCACTCCACGAAGAGATCGCCTTGCATAAGCATCTGAAACACAAAAACATCGTCCAGTATCTGGGCTCCTTCAGCGAGAACAGCTTCATTAAAATCTTCATGGAGCAGGTCCCTGGAGGTAGGAGCTATTTTTCTTCCTTTAAAAAAATATAACTTTCTGGGGCCTCGAAGTGCAGTGAAATTGGGATTTACTGGGTCACAGGCCTTTAATTGTCTGAGTTGAAGAGAAAATTAGACATATGACATGACTTTGCTGTTTAGTAGGACACAATGCATATTAGAATTAATTTCATACCAATGATTGTAGCTTGGATTCGTGGAAATAATAGAGTCCGTTTTTACTTCTGCTCTGTTCGATAGTGAAGGAGCCCTGGTGGCGTAGTGGATTGCATGTTGGGCTGCGAGCCACAAGCTCAGCAGTTCTAATCCACCAGCTGCTCCCAGGGAGAGAAATGAGGCTTTCTACTCCCATAAAGATTCACAGTCTTGGAAATCCACAGGGGCAATTCTGTTCTGCCCTCTAGAGTCAACTCCATGGCAGTGAGTAGATTTTAGTGTTTGGTAATGAGCTCCTTTAAACAGGGACCTTTTCTTCTTCATGTTCCAGCCCCAAGTATTTAGTACAATGCTTGGGCTCCTGTGAATACCCAGTCTATATCGGCATAAGTTAATGTTATACCACTGCCATTAAGTTCCAAAGTAATGTGGGCCTATGTAGAACAGAACAAAATGCTGTGACAGCCTCCCAGTGGGGCTGTGTTTGAGCCCATTGTTGTAGCCACCGTGTGCTTTGAAGAACTCATGTTCCTTTAGCTTAACGATTTTATCCACTGTTTCTTCCTACTCTCTAGGGAGTCTTTCTGCTCTCCTTCGGTCCAAATGGGGCCCATTGAAAGACAATGAGCAAACCATTGGCTTTTATACAAAGCAAATACTTGAAGGATTAAAATACCTCCATGACAATCAGATAGTTCACCGGGATATAAAGGTAGGATGCACTAGACTTCATTTCCATTTTTATTTGCAAGAATTGTATTGTGTTTTGAGTTCACGTGGGATGGCAAATAAATCAACCTTTGCCACAGCAGAAAGGCTGCATCAGGGGTTTCTTTCTACCCAGGGGTGAACTGGGCATGCTCCCCGCCAAAGCCAGAGCTGCCTTTGTGGTGTGGGGCTCCGTGGGGCGGGAGTGCAATGGCACAAAGGTAAACAGGACTTAGTTGCTGTGCCTGAGCCTACAGGCCGGCTCCTCTTTGTGCCCTTGCCCAGTGCTGCTCCCCAGAAAGTACGTGTCGACTCACTAGATACATGGTTAAAAGAAGAAAAAAAATCCCCTGTGCTCAGAAGTCTCACATGCTTGTACATTGAAATAAAACCAGACAGCTTACTAGCTACTGTTTTGAAAGAAGATTCAGAACTGATGAATTTTTGACAAAGTATGTTAAGATTGAAAGGTGCCCTGGTGGCACAGTGGTGAAGTGCTCAGCCGCCGAGCAGAAGGTCACTGGTTTGAACCCACCAGCTGCGCCATGAGAGGAAGACATGGCAGTTGGCTGGCATGCAGGCGGACAGCTCTGGGGGCCCTATGCAGCCAGTCTTCTCTGTCCCACAGGCTCGCGGGTGGCAGAAGCCACAGCTGCAAGTTTGCAGTTAATATTCCTGGCCTGTTATCTGTCTATTTAACTCTATTTCCTCAGTGTCCCAGGACAAGAACTAAAACAACATAGGAAACGACTGGAGAGTTGTGAATGTCATAATTTGACATATCATAGGCATTATTGAAACCCAGATTGTGTGTGAACTGCAGCAAGTTCTTCTTTTTTGTAATCATTTTATTGGGGCTCGTACAACTCTTATCACAATCCATCTATCCATTGTGTCAAGCACATTTGTACATTGGTTGCCATCATCATTCTCAAAACATTTTCTTTCTACATGAGTCCTTGGTATCAGCTCATTTTTTTCTCCCCCACCCTCCCTTCTGAACCCTTGATAATTTATATTATTTTTTCCATGTCTTACACTGACCGATGTCTCTCTTCGCCCACTTTTCTGTTTTCCATCCCCCTGGGAGGAGGTTATATGTAGATTATTATGATCGGTTCTCTTTCTCCCCCCACCTTCCCCTTCCCCTCCAGCTATTCCCATTACTGGTCCTGGAACTGCAGCAAGTTCTAAGGAACTGGGAACCCCTTTTTGATCGTGTTATGGGAGTAGCAGGTGGTGAACAGCTGTGAGAGAAGCTCTTAATGAAGAGCACAGAATCAGGCCCATGTGCACGCAACAGATACCTTGTCATACTGGCCTCTCGAGCCAGCAACCCTACAGAAAGACCAGGTTTTGATTAAAGCCCTCTGTTCCCTAGGGTGACAATGTGTTGATCAACACCTACAGTGGTGTCCTCAAGATCTCCGACTTCGGAACATCCAAGAGGCTGGCTGGCATAAACCCGTGTACTGAGACTTTCACTGGTACGTGTTTGCAGTCTTGACGCCGGGCCTTTGTAAGAAAAGCAACTGGCTGCTACGTTGGAGGCCGGGTGTGGCCAGGGGGGAAAGAAGCAGGTAGTCTTAAGTCAGCAGCTTCACAAACCGCTGGGCCTTCTGGCGCTTGCTGCAAAACCTGACACAGCCCTTTTCTTTCCTTATGCCACGGAAGTTTATTTTTAAAAACTCTGGATTGATCACTTGGTTTTCCTCTCATGACATTACTTTGCTCTTGATTGGCCTCTAACCACTGTAATCCTGGTAAGGTTTAGACAAAAAATAATTTTTTTTTTCCTTTTTAATTGAACATTTCCGTCGTTTAAGCCCTCTGTGATTCAGCCCTTAATCACTTCCCATTTGGACTGTGAGTTCCCTTGTTCCAAGTCTTGTTTACTCCCTGTGGCTGACGCCTCGACTCCTCCACATAAATAAGTCTGGTTGGATTTCAATTCGGATTAGAGGAAGTGACTCAGCCACTCAGAAGTGGGCTGGGGAGGGAGAGGTGGCCGCCCGCCGAAGCTTGCTCCCAGTGCCAAGGCCGAGGGAGATGAAGGAGGAGGGAGCTCTCTAAAATGGTAGCAGGGCCCAGAGGAAGCTGCGAGGTCCAGAGGTGACCGGAGCGCCGCTGGGCCTTCACCATGAGCCTGATCACTCCTTGGGGCTGATTGTCAGTCTTTTCCCGCTGATTAGAAGGTGACCTGACAGTCTAGTGGGGCTGTGTGGGGCTGCTCACAGGAAGGTTGGTGGTTCTGACTCCACAGGAGAAAGATGAGGCTTTCTGTTCCCATGAAGTTTGACAGCCTCATCCCCGGCCTATAGGATTGCTGTGAGTCAGAACTGACTTGATTGTGCATTGGATTTTTTCTGTTCTTAGTTTTGGTTTTATGAGAGAGAATAATTAGCAAGAAGAGTCAATGAGTCATGTTGGCGCTCATAGAAAGCCGATGAATCCTGCGAGGTAGGCATGGCGGCATGCCATCGAGCCAGTCTGCAATGCCTGGCACACGCATGGGGGTTCCTAGGCTGTAAATCATGGTGGGAACAGACCACCAGAGCTTCGCCTCCCCTGAGCCCCGGGTAGGTTTGAACTACTGACTTTTCAGTTTGCAATGGGACGTTTAACCACAGCGCCACCCAGACACCTTACGAAGCAGGTGGTTTTGCAGATGAGGAAACTGAGAGAAGAGGGACAGCTTATAAACGGCAGAACTCGAGGTTTTAATTTACACGTTGCTCTCTGCTTTGGCCTTTTTGTCTCAAGTTCATCGCTCTCTCCTGACGCCATTGTCTGTTCCGTAGCCTGGGAGAGGGAGCGCCTCAAGGTTCTTCTTCAGAACATTCAGTCGGCAACACCTCCAGCCCGGCTCCCATCCCCATGGCAATGGCTATTTCCGGACACAGAATTAAAGACACGAATAATATATTTTTGAGCACACTAAGTACCAGCCTATTAATAATTTTAAACATCTTTACATTTCCTTCCTCATAGTCTGTCAATTTGGCAAGAGATGTTTTAGATGCTGCCAAGACTCCAATTTCAACACATTTATGTGGGTATTAATCTCTTTGCATTCCTGAAGGAGCCCTGGTGGCAGAGTGGTTATGAGTTGGGCTGCTAACTGCAAGGTCAGCAGTTCGAATCCACCAGCCACCCCTCAGGAGGAAGACAGTGGTTCTCACCCTTCCTAATGCCGCGACCCTTTAATTCAGTTCCTTATGTTGTGGTAACCCCTAACCATAAAATTATTTTCATTGCTACTTCATCATGTAATTTTGCTACTGTTATGAATCAGGCTTTCCCTGTGAAAGAGTCGTTCGACCCCACAGTGGTCACGACCCACAGGTTGAGAACCACTGGCTTAGAGGCTCTAAAATTCTCAGGGGCAGTTCTACCCTGTCCTATAGGATCACTGTGAGTCAGCATCGACTTGATGGCAGTGAGTTGGGTTTTTTGGTTTTAAATCTTCAAAGGGGTTATTGTAAAGTCTGCCCTCCCAGAACCCTTTGCACATATTCTTGCCACTGGCCGGAGTTCAAGGTGATGTGTGTGACTAGCCTGCTAGTGATGTCTGTCTCCAGCCCTGGAGAGTGTAGCACACAGAGCACTGAGTCAGAGCTAGTGAAGGCCGTGTGGTCCGGTCAACATGGGTCAATGGAGTTGAAAGGTTGTATTAGTCTGGGTAGACTAGAGAGACAAATCCATAGAAACTCATATTTATGTAAGAGAGAGTTTTATGTGAAGGGTAATTGTACATTAAGAAAGCATCCAAACCCAGTCCAGACCAAGCCCATATGTCTGATAATTAGCCCATATGTCCAATACCAATCAATAAAGTCCTCTTCAGACTCACAAAACACATGCAATGATACTGAATGCAGGATGATCACAGGCCAGTGGGTGCAAGGTCTTGTAGATCCAGGGACGGTAGAAGCATCTCAGCACTGACAGGGGTCTCCATATGGCTTCTCCAGTTCCCATGGTGTCTATCAGCATAGTGCCATGTTGTCATGTCGGTAGAGAATCTCTAAGGGAGGGAGCCGAGCGACAGACTGACTGACAGACTCTGTCTCCCACCTCCAAGGAGGAAATACCAGCGTTCCCAGAATTCTCAGAAGGCCATGCCCAATTCTCAAATTGACACCAGATTATGTAACTACCACAAAGATGTTCATCTGTTTCACCTCCTGGTGATTTGGGTGACGGAGGAGGCAACAGCAACCAGCATTATGGAGTTGCTTACTGTACACTTGGCTCTCGGCAACATGCTGGGCCTAAGACATCCCATAGAAATTCAAACATGAGTCAAGTGGCAGGGCTCATTACCCCAGCTTATGATGAGAAAATTAGGTTCAAACAAGCTAAGTACGTAGTGATCGAGCTGGGGTTCAAACTAGACTTAACATGCCAAATGAATTTATTACCTTCTCCCCAAACCTGTTCCTGATCTCTGTGGATGGCAGCTCCAAACTCCGAGTTCCCTAAGGCGCCTCTCACTCTTCACCTCCCAGGCCAAGCCAGGTCAAGCCAAGCCATCGAGGAGGCCCGGTGACTCCAACTGCACATGCGTCCAGAATGGGGCCAGTTCTTTCGGCCTCGCTGCTACCATTGCATCTTACTTCTGTAGCCTCAGTAGCCTCTTCTCCCTGCAGCCACTTGACCCCGTGCTGCCTGCTCTCTGGATAGCAGTCAGAGTGACTCACAGCCTAGCTCTTTCTGAGAAAGCACTAAGCCCCGTGGGCTGGCAGCTCAGGCCTCAACCTGCTCTGTGGTCCTTCACCTGTCAGACTTCATCTCTTAGTGTTTCCTCCGGTGCTCACCCTGCTCTGCGCACTCACATGGGCCTTCCTGTATTTCCTCCATTAAACTCAAAACCCAAACTCACTGCCAGTGAATTGGTTCCAACTCATAGCCTGTAGCAGGGGTGTCAAACTGGTGGCCCGTGGGCTGCATGCACCCAAGGTAATTTTTGTGGCCCACGATGCTCTGAAATAAAATGTAATGAGGGAATTGTGTGTACAGTATTGCCTTGATCTCCCCTAAGCTCTATTTTCTTCATAACAATTTCTTTTTCTATTTTCATTTTATTGCAGAGCATTGTGGCCCATAAAGGGGCCGCATGGGGCCCATGGGCCGCCAGTTTGACACCCCTGGCCTATAGGAGAGGGTAGAACTGGCCCTGTGGGTTTCTGAGACTAGGACTTTTCTACAGAAGTACAAAGCCTCATCTTTTTCCTGTGGAGCAGCTGGTGGTTTCAAACATCTAACCTTGCTATTAGCCCAGTGCATAACCCCCTACACCACCAGAGCTCCTATTTCCTCCATTACTCCAGGTCAATACTGTGCTACAGTTACCCCATTGGTCCAAACAAGAGACCAGGCAGGTAATGGCAGCAGGACTCCGCTACCAGAGCGTGGCATTTGCTCTTCCTCTTGCCAGGACCACTCTTCCCACAGCGACTTCATGGCAGACTCGTGCATAGCCTTCAGGTCCTACCTGCTCCATGAGGCCTCCCCTGACCACGCTGTTTCCCAGGGCAGCCTCCTCGGGCCTGGACACTCTGGTCCCCTTCAGCCTGCTCTTTTTATTTGGGGGCAGGGGTGTCATAAAGCTTTTAATCTTCTAACATACTTTATCACTTACCTATTTATTATGCTTATAGCTTATTGTCTGCTTCTCCTTACACAATGGATGACGGTCGGTACCCTTTCTCCCTGTTTTTTGTGCTGCTGAATCTAAGAGCCTTTAACCTATAGGGCCCTATAGGCCAGCCTGGGAGGCGGCAGGGAAGCTTAATCTGGACCTGCGGAACTAATACAGGAATGAGATGTAATGTGAACATTGACTGCTCCCATAACCTGCTTCCCCAGGTGCTGTCTGTACTGGCAAAGTAATTCTAGATTATGTTTAAGTTTTGTTTTTAAGGCCTGGAATGCAGTAGGCGTTTTAGGGTTCACACTCTCACTGGGTTTGTTTGTTGGATTTTGGCTTTTTAGGCTAATGTTCAGATTGCTTTGCATCTTCAGGGTCATCTCTGTAAATCACTTTATGTAAAGCACTATGTGCCGTGTGTTTGTGTAGGAAAGAGAGAAGCAGATAGGAATGATCCCATGGCTAACCCAGATTTTTTTTGGCCCTTGCTCTGTAGATCATTAAATACCATTGCACATAGAACTCTTTAAAATATTATCTGATGAATAAAAAGATACAAACACTCGATTGTCTAGACTGGCAGTTCTCAACCTGTGGGTCGAGACCCCTTTGGGGGTGGAACAACCCATTCACAGGGGTCACCCGATTCATAACAGTAACAAAATTACAGTTATGAAGTAACAATGAAATAATGTTATGGTTGGAGGGTCACCACAACATGAGGAACTGTTTTAAAGGGTCATAGCATTAGGAAGGTTGAGAACCACTGGTCTAGACATTGGTGGCCCCCCCCCTTTTTTTTTCTTTTAAATCATTTTATTGGGGGCTCCTATAACTCATCACAATCCATACATCCATCCATTGTGTCATGCACATTTATACAT